GGGGGTAGGGTGGGAATTAGACAAAACCTGAGAATATTAGCCAACACTCTGTGGATGTGCTTGGAAAAATCTGGCTTCACATGGAGTTTCCTGGTTTCCTCACTGTAGCCCCTTCCCTGACACCTCACCCCATCTACCACGCCCAGGATTTGTGCCTCCCAAAACCTATGACTTAAATGAATTTAGTGGAAAAATGTATTTACTTCTAGGTGGGTTTGTAAAATAATGTGGCATAGAATTTATGACCACATATCCTAAACATTCGAGCAAATTTAAATGAAAAATCACATTTCTGGGTCATTTTAGAAAAGTCTGGCATAATAATTACATTTTAAAAATTTATTTATGTATTTATTTAGAGACAGAGTCTCACTCTGTCGTCTGGGCAGAGTACAGCGGCATCACTGTAGCTCACAGCAACCTCAAACTCCTGAGCTCAAGCGACACTGTGCCTCAGCCTCCCGAGTAGCTGGGACAAAAGGCATGCACCACCACACCTGGCTAATTTTTCTATTTTTAATAGAGACAGGTCTTGCTCTTGCTCAGGCTGATCTCCAACTCCTGAGCTCAAACAATCCTCCTCAGCCTCCCAGAGTGCTAAGACTGCAGGTGTGAGCCACCACCCTTGGCCTAATAATTATTTTTAACCACTTCGGTACCAGCGTCGACTATAGTCGACAGCCACAGATGAACGCGCACAGTGACTTTAGCCGAGAGCCGTGATATGAAGGTGCACAGCCGAGTGTCGACTTTAGCCAACAGCTTTGATATGATTTTTCTAATTTTTCATTTCTCAAAGTAAAATTGTGAACATTTAAAAATAACGTAATGAAAACATATATGCATATGTTACCTATTCTGATTTACATTACAAGTAAAGCTGCCTGTAAAGTAAAACAAGCTTTCGGTGCTTTAAAGCTTTCCTCATCACACAAGAGCAAAAGGGATTCGTCGTCAATGCACAGCACAAGCTATCATGCGGACTGTGAGTGCCGGCTGTGGGCAAGGTTTCCCAGCCAGTGAGCGTGGTCCCAAAGTGGTTAAAAGCCCACAAGACTTAGTGAATTTGGATGAAAAATCCTATTTTCAAGACCATTTTGGAAGAAAAATGTGGTATTACATCCAGAAAATCCTACTTGTTATACAAATTTAGAAGACAAATGCCTTTGGGGCCATTTTAGAAGAAAATTCTGCTATTGGGCTATGTTAAAAAGAAAACTCCACCGATTATTTGACTACTATTGCTCTATAGTAAATTTTGAAATTGATAAGCATAAGTTCTCCAATTTTTCTCTTTTAAAAATGTGTTCTATTGCTTCTTTTTTTTTTATTATTATTTTTTAATTTTTTTCGTAATCTTGAAGATTCTCTCATATAAGTATATAATGATGTTTCTCATTTTTTGTTATGACAGCACTTGTTCTATTTGTGCATGACTGACTTTTAGTTAAGCAGTCACTCTACTGAAGATTTTTTTCTTTACTACTAATTACTGCACTGAAGAACTTATATAAACAATTTTGTGCATGAATACGTACAGCTTATTCGATAAATTCCCTTAAGTGAGATTAAGGGCTCAAAGGGAATATGAATTTTTAGTTTTGGTAGTATTACCAAGTTGTCCACCATAAGACTTGTGCTAATTTATATTCCCAAAACTAATGTGTAAGTGTTCCTGTTTCCAGTCTACAATACTGTTTTCGAAGTTTGTAGTTTTTGCTAATCTGATAGGTGCAAATGATATCTGTGTGTCGTTTTCATTTTTATCTTTACTGATGTAAGGGATATTTTCAAATGAAAAAAGGCTTCCTGTACTGTGATTTGTCTGTTCTTATATTTGAGTATTTTCTGTTGTATTATTTTTTAAAACTTTATTTCTAGAGGTATTATATAATATAGATAGGAAAAACTATCTATATAGGTGCTCCCCACCTCCAACAGTTTGTCTTTTATTTTGGCTGAAGGGGTGTGAGTTGCCTTGCAGAATTTATTTTGCTATAGACAAATTTGACCTTTTTCATTATGACTTTGAGATTTTGAGCCATAATTAGGAAGCCAGTCCTAGGTTATAAAGGTGTTCCAACTACCTATTGCTGTGTAACAGACGATCCTAAAATTTAGGGCTTCAAGCAAATTATTAATATCATCCCTCACAGTTCTATAGGTTGACTGAGCTTGGCTGAGTGGTTCTTATTTGAGGTCCCGCACATGGTTGCTGATGTCAGCTAGAGTTTTAGTCATCTGAAGGCCTGACAGGACATCCACAGTGGCTGGCTCACACGACTGGAGCTGATGTTCACTGTTGGCTAGCTCACCTGTGGCCAATGACCAGAGTGCCACCATGAGGCTCTCCATATATGGCTTGAAGTTTTCACAACATGGCAACAGGGTTTGAAGAGTAGAAGCTGTGAGGTTTCTTTTGAGCCAGTCTCAGAAGTCTCATGATGTCACTACCCTCTCTTGATCAAGAAAGTCACTAAGGCCAGTCCAGATCCACGGAAAGGGCAACAAGATTTCATTATGATATACACATAAGAAGCGAAGGAATAGATGGTGTCCATCTTGGAAATTCTTTGCACAGTCCACTCTCTGAATACCAAACTGCACGTCCATCCCATGTTAAATATCCCTCCTAAGACCCCCAGAGTCTTATCCCACTATGGTGTTGGTGCAAAGTTCAGGATCTTGTTCCCTAAATCAAGTCAAGGTGTAGATGCTTTATTGGAAGACCTGTGATCTAAAAAAGTATATCTAACATCCAATGTTCACATGGGGACAGGATAACCCCAATAAAGGTTCCTATTAAAAAATGTGGAAATGGCTGGCACAGGTTCACAGAAATTCAGCAATTCAGCTGGGCATTTTGCCAGCTCCTTGCTTAGAGCCCAGTACTGCTCCCTAGCAGTGATTCTCCACAATGTCTACACTCCGAGTTATTTTTCCTTTTCCATGAGAAATGACCCATATTTGCAGCTTAGTAGATTTCTCAGCCTGCCCCTCTGCCCACAGAAAGGTAGAAGCCTTTCTGTCCTTTTCAGACCTAGCTGGTTTTCCTATTACAAATGTTATGGTTTTCCTATGCCTCTTATTGAAGTTCATCCCATTAGACAAAATCATATCCACAAAGCTCTTCAAGATAAGTGCTTCTCTGGTTTGGGTTGAGTGTCAAGGTGCTATGGGATAATGCCCTTAAAATTCAGAAACCATTTTGTGTATGTCCAGTTACCACACAATTAAATCTTTTTGAAGTCATAAAAAAGGGTCTTACAGTTGTATCCTTGAGATGATCTTTATCTTGAAAGCCACTTATTTTGAGCAAACTCACTCTGCACTTGAACACAGTGTAGGAGGCATGGTTAAGAAATATATTTAGCCCCGCTATTGGAGAACTATTGAGGGTGTGTGGCTAAGGGGTCTTAGACCAGTTACCTGATGACTGGCAAAAGGAGTAGGTCCAGGGATAGTGCCAAGGAGCATGACTGAAAGTCTTATACCCTGAAATTATAGGACTGATTTGGGGGCGTGGTTTCACTTATCCCTATTATTAGAGGGCTGAGGAAGACACATGGTTAAAGACTGTCATATACAATCATTTCATCACTTAAGAATAGGAATACATTCTAAGACGATTTCATTATTGTGTCAACATCGTAGAGTTTATTTACACAAATGTAGATGGTGTAGCCTACTACACACCTAGGCTATATGGTACAGCCTATAGCTTCTAGGCTACAAACCTATACAGGAAGTTCCCGTACTGAATACTGTAGGCAACTGTAACACAATGGTAAGTATTTGTGTATCTAAACATAGAAAAGGTACAGTAAAATATAGTATAAAAGATAAAAAATCATATACTTATATAGGGCACTTACCATGAATGGAGCTTGCAGGACTGGAAGTTGCCTTGGGTGAGTCAGTGAGTGCTGAGTGTGAAGGCCTAGGATGTTACTGTTCATTACTACAGACTTTGTAAACACTGTACACTTAGGTTACACTACATTGATTTAAAAATTTTTTATAAATTTTAATAAACCATAGCTTCCTGTAACTTTTTTACTTTATACAACTTTTTGACCCTTTGGTAATAACATTTAGCTTAAAACACAAACACATTGTACAGCTGTACAAAAATATTTTTTCTTTATATCCTTATTCTGTAAGCTTTTTTCCATTTATTATTATTATTTTTTTTTTTACTCGTTAAACCTTTTTGTTAAAAACTAAGACATAAACATATATATTAGTCTAGGTCTATAGAGTCAGGATCATCAATACCAGTTTTCTTCTTCCACATTTTGTCCCACTGGAAGGCCTATGATGTCACTAGGTGATAGAAATTTTTCAGCTCCATTATAATCTTATAGGACCACTGTCATGTATGTGGTCTCTCGTTGACTGAAACATCATTATGCAGTGCATGACTGTAGTTACCGGAGTGCCAGTGAGGTGGTATAGCTGGGGTGGCTGGGTGTTATCCATGTTCTTGGTAGCATGATATAGGTGTAACTGAGATCCAAGGCTCTGCTTAGTCATAGCTAAGACCAGGCCCCAGGACTGGGCTCCTGAGGACAGAGGACAATGTGTTGGTGAGAGGGCCCCAAAGAGGGAGGACCAGGGACTAAAGCCTGAAAGTAACACAGGAAGTCAGGGGATGATTCCACAAAGGCAACAATACAGATGTTAAGAGTCAGGAGGAGAGAAGCAGGAAAGGGAGCTGTCACAGAGCCAAGGGAGGAGGGTCACTGCAGATGAAACTGGACTAGAGGAAGCCACATTTTTTGGAAGATTCTCTTCCCTCCTGAAATCTCTGTCTACAGTTCCTAGATTCTCTCCTCAGACAAAGGATTAGACTTTCCAATAAATATACAAATGATTTGGTTCTTATGTTTTCTAAAGAAATGAATGCTGGCGGAGTAGTGGACTTAAGAGTTCGAGCTATCTATATTGCTCCTTATTCCCTACCTTTGTAGGTGAGAGAATGAAATACACAGCCAAGGTTACAGATTTGTAAGGAAGCTAAGTTTATTAGAACAAAAGGCCACAAAACATGGACAAGACTTAGTGTGAAGAAAATAAACTAAGTCAAATGTCCTCTGACCACTTATGGAATGCATTTCCTTCTCCAATTCATAAAAGGATACAAATTTTGACTGCTAGTCCTTGTCATCATCTTCACTTTCAAAGAGAATATAAGGGCTCAGAAGATTGCCCTGAATAGGCCTCAGGGTCAGGCTGGAGTGGCTGTCTGTGGTGGCCAGACTTCATTTTCCTGTGTCTACTGAGGTGAGATTTCTGGCCAATGCCTTGCCCATAAGTCTTGCACAGGCATGGCTTCTCCCCTTTGTGTGTCATTTGATGTAAGGTGAGGAGTGCCTTCTGGATAAAGCCTTGGCCACACTCTCTGCACGCACATGACTTCTCTTCTGCGTGTACCCGCTTATGCGTGATTAAAGCCGACTTATTGCTAAAGCCGAGGCCGCACTGCCTGCACATGTAGGGCTTCTCCCTTGCGTGTTTCCTCTTGTGCCTGATGAGGCCTGCCTGGTGGCTGAAGCCCCGCCCACACTCCCGGCACACGTAAGGCTTCTCCCCTGAGTGTGTCCTCTGGTGTGCAATGAGGTTTGACTTCTGGCTGAAGCCTCGCCCGCACTCCTCACACACCATGGGCTTCTCCCCTGAGTGTGTCCTCTGGTGTCTGATGAGATTTGACTGCTGGCTGAAGCCTCGTCCGCAATCCTTGCACACAATGGGCTTCTCCCCTGAGTGTATGTTCTGGTGCCTGTTGAGGTGTGACTTTAGACTGAAGCCCCGCCCACACACCCCACACACATATGGCTTCTCCCCGGTATGTGTCCGCCTGTGAGAGATGAGGGTAGAATTCTGGCTGAAGCTATGCCCACACACTCCGCACACATACGGCTTCTCCTTTGAGTGTGTCCTCTGGTGGTTGACGAGGGTTGTCCTCTGCCGAAAGCATCGCCCACACTCCTTGCAGGCGTAGGGCTTCTCCCCTGAGTGTGTCCTCTGGTGGGAGATGAGATTTGATCTGTCGCTGAAGCCCAGGCCACAATCACTGCACACGATGGTCTTCTCCTCTAAGTGTGTCCTCTGGTGTCTAACGACAGCTGACTTCTGACTAAAGCCTTTGCCACACTCCCGGCACACGTAAGGCTTCTCCCCTGAGTGTGTCCTCTGGTGTATGATGAGGTTTGACTTCTGACTGAAGCCTCGCCCACACTCACTGCACATGTAAGGCTTCTCGCCGGAGTGTGTTCTCTCATGTATGATGAGTGTGGACTTCCGGTTAAAACCTCGTCCACACTCCCTGCACACAATAGGTTTCTCCCCTGAGTGTGCCTTCTGGTGTCTGGCGAGGCTCTTCTTTAGACTGAAGCCCTTCTCACACACCCCACACACGTAAGGCTTCTCTCCTGAGTGTATCCTCTGGTGACTGAGCAGGTTTGTCATCTTGCTGAAGCTCAGCCCACACTCTCCACAGTTGACTGTTCCAAATCCTAAGACTTCTATCCTCTTCAACAATTTGTCCGTTTCCTCAGGGTTCCCTGTCTGGGCTGGTGTGGTCTCTATCTCCACCCCTCTGATGCCATTCCGAGAGCTGACTGGCTGCTTTTGGGGTGGCCTGGGAAACACTCCCAGAGTCCTTTTCTTTGTCCTTCCAAACAAAGGCTTGGCACCTTGCCTCTCTTGACCTTGTGCTTTATCACTCCAGGAAGTTCTATCGGAGGCTTGTTGCTGCTTCTCTTCGTCCCCGGGGCGTGGATCCCCCGGCTGGACGTGACTTTCTGCACACAAGCATGTAAAGATCCAGGGGGGATGACTACACAGCACACGCTGCACGGGGAATTTCTGACTGGACAAATCTGGAGGGAAGAAAGGACCAAGGTGGAGTTCTGTGTTTGGTTCTGTAGAGAGAAAAGTCCGAGTCAGAACTGAATCCTCAGTGGGGCAGCCTGAGCAATTCTGCCTAGTCTGATGGTAACACTTTTGATCCCCTGTTCTTTGAAATTCTTACAAGCTAAGGGCTCCCCAACCAAGACTTCCTTTACACGGCCTACTTTCCAGCCCATTACTACATCTTACATCTTCTATTACAATCCAGAAAATCTACTCCTAAGACCTATTCTATGTATCAGACTATAAAAGCATCACAGGCAGTTTGGGGTATGTAAATAGGGCTAATATGGAACAGTCTCCCCTACACTACAATTACCCTCCAACTCATACACACCACACTGATAAAAAACCATGCCCACAAATATTTTTTTTTTCTTTGAGAGATATCTAACCACAGGACTCATGTGAAAATGTCCTTATATTTCCCCCTATTTCCCTGTAAGGACAAAGGGATAGACCGAGAGAACAATCATTTGGAGTGGACAGAGAACCCCTGGTGCAGGAAGCAGCATAAGAGAGTGATTAAAGAGAAAGTGTGAAACACCTGCATAGGAGTCTGCCCACTCATTAACAAATATTTGTTAGAGGATTACTTTGTACCAAAATTTCTACAAGGCAGTAGGCTGTCAGCAATGGACAACACGCACATAATCTAGACCCCTACTGACTTAAAAGATGCTTCTTCCTGCTGTCCCTGACCTAAGCATTGTTTATTTCCATAATTAGCATAAATAAAATTTTCCCCAGAAACCAATGTAAAAGAAAAATTTTCTACTTATAGTATCTCTTGTGTAGGAGATGTCAACATTGAATGTGTTGTTTCATCACAACTGGTTCTGGTCAGCTGAAGGCAATCAATGACCAAGCAATTTGAGAAACCAGTTATAGATCTTATGAGATCTACCTGAACAGTTTTCGTGACCAATGAACAATCAGGCTTATTAGAACTGTGTAAACATCTACATTCCAGTATTATTCCATCCTATACAGAATGTTACTCTGCAATCCTAATTATAAATAGCATAACCACCCTTTCCTAACACTTAAAAATCCTGACCCTTTCCACTCAGCAAATGGCTAAGTGAATCCTTTCCCTTTTGTGTTTGACTGCCTAGCCAATAAATAAGCTCAGCTTCTTTCTTCAGTAGCTCTGGTGGCCTTTGATGACAGTAGCTATCAGGCTTTGCTGCCAGTCTGAGGAGCCACCTGATGCCCACTTCTCCCCAGCTCCAGTGCTGTGGGGCTCCTGCTGGGAAGGCACGCTTTCCCTGAACCCTTTCTACTCAGGACTGGTCGACCAATGGTCTCTCTAGACTATTCCACAGCAACGACTGAACCCTGACTGCTTTCACTGAGCTCTCACTAAGTTTATTTTGTTTAATGTAGGTTGTTTGGGAGTCCACAACTTGTAACTGATTTTGTATTTCTATTTCTGGCCAGCAAAGAGTTTTTAGATTTGATTTGTTGGCTGTTTTTTACTCTTCGATATGATGGGAAAAGGGAAGCAATTGCTGATAACTCCTTGGTTTCCTTTCATACATATTAGGTCACTAGGTAAGTAGGTCTTTTAGCAGAAAGAACTTCTGTGTCTGTTCTCTTTTAAGCATGGTAACTATGATTTTGGCACACAGGTAAGCCCTCAACCCCCCATGGGAACCACGGCTTCTGGTATGTCGACTTCTTATACCTATATATGTATATCCAATTTCTGTGCCTATGTATATAAAGTGGCAGGCTTTTGTTTATACTAAATATAATTCAGAATCATAGTGGCCACTTCAGAGAAATTTTAAATTTAACATAGTTTTAACACTGATAGGGAATAACAGAAGAAAAACAAAATTTCAATTCTCCACTGGTCAATCTTTTCAGTTGGTTATAAAATCAGCCATTATGTGTATACTCTCAAAACATTTAGTCTGAGCAGAGATTTAGCACAAAATATTGCCAACTTAATGAATTAGTTTATAAAGTATTTTAAGTCTATAGGTGCTCCCATACTGATAGGTTTATAGAGATTAATGAGCACTGATACAAATTTAAAATCTCAAGAATATCCAAATTACAATAAAAATTGAACTCCTAATTATTTTAATATGCTGGTTTCTAAAGGAAATCTTGCTGCAGCTAGAGCTCTGGCTCTAAAGAAAAAACTTCAGCTGTTAGTTAAGTTAGGGGCTTTGGTTAGTAGGTTACACTGTAAGAAAGTAGGTGAGGCATTCAGGGCTTATAAACTACGTATGTAAAGACTTTTACTAGCTGGTATGTAACTATAAGGGTGACATTTCTAAATATTATAAAGCCTGGAAATTAGACAGATGTAATATCTTCTCCTTTATTTTATCAGAGTGTAAATATAGCATTAGCATAATATTCTAGTTATAGAAAACTTGGTTCACTTTTTCAAAGAAAGTTTAATCAATCTAAACCTACAAGACTCATATACAGGTTGAGCATCCCTAATCTGACAAGCTCTAAAATCCAAAACTTCTTGAGCATGAACATGACCCCACAAGTGGAAAATTCCACACCTGACCCCATGTGACAGGTCATAGTAAAAATGCAGGCACACAACATGGTTTATTCAGCATCCCCAAGGGAAAAATAAAATTACTTTCAGGCTATGTATTTAAGGTATATATGAAACATCAATGTTCCTGTTTAGACTTGGGTCCCATCCCCAAGATATCTCATTACATATATGCAAATATTACAAAATGCAAAAATATATGAAATCTTAAATACTTATAGTCCCAAGCATTTCAGATAAGGGATACTCACCTATACTTATTTAGAAATCAGATAAGCTATGAATAATATTGCATTCACACATGTTTATGATAAGGATACAGGTAGTGCTGGAAATTATGAAAATCTACAATTACTTGAAACAAAATAACTCCAGAATTATTTTTTAGACAATTTTTTACATCAACACTGATTATGTTGCTTTTTAATTTCTAAGACCTCCTATTAAGAAAGCATTATGAAAATCAATAAATATTTAAACAAAAAATTGAAAAAACTAAACAATATAGAGTTCCCATGCAATAATTTTACTTATATTCTTGCCTAAACTAACAGGATCGCCTTATGTTAATATTAAATAAGTTAATTATTTTACAGACTATAAATTAAAACTTTAAATACTGTCTATCAACACTGAGTAATATACATGCTTAAAAACACGTACAATTACATAGCATATCCATAAAGAAAATAGCTTAAACCAATAAGAAAACTGGTAACTAACAGGGAATTATAATAGTGTATAATTTCTATCCTCTATATAAAAAATAATTAATTTTTGTCTTCTGTGTACTCTAATTAGGAAACAAAAGCTCTATTTTTGCCTTACTATATGTATATTTTTAATTTTCAACAGTCTCATTCTTATGCTTTTGTGTTACCTCTTAACAGACTCCTCAGTCAAGTTAAATAACAAGGATAGTTTACTTCAGGATGGTTTAAAATTCTTAATGATTATGGTGACTCCTATTACTCTTTAAAAAATGAATTAATTTTTAATTGAAAAATAAAAATTGTATACATTTATCATGTACATGTTTTGAAATATGTATGCATTGTGAAATCGCTAAGTCAACATTATAAACATGGGTAATACCTCATATATCTATCATTTTTTTGTGGTGAGAACACCTAAAATCTACTGTCTTGGCAATTTTATTTTTTATTTATTTATTTTTTTTCTTTTATGAAACTTATCAGCACGCAATGTCTTGGCAATTTTAAAGAATATGATACATTGCTATTAATTATAGTCACCATGTTATACAATAGAGCTCTTGAACGTATTACTTCTATCTGAAATTTTGTATTATTTGATCAACATCTCCCCAACCATCCCATCCCTCAATTGTAACTACCATTCCACTCTGTTTCTATGAGTTTGACTTTTTTAGATTCCACATATAAGTAAGACTGAGCAGTATTTGTTTAGCTGTGATTTATTTCACTTAAGGTATTATCCTCCAGATTTATCCATGTTGTTGCAAACAATCCTGTTATGTTTATTTACTATATTATATAACTGTATTAATATTCTGATCAATGAAGTACCCAAGACAACTCTATGCTTTTCTTGTAACTAGACTGTTCTGAGGATTCTCTTACTGCCTTTCCTAAATCCAGGTCTCAAATATAGAATGAAACTGTCAAGATATATTTTATACCTAAAACAGAACAGTCTTTTCCTCCATTATACCTGTATTTTGGATTTCTAAGATAGCTTTCTAGGCAATCACAAAGATTTGTTCCTTAAATTTGTAAAGCATTCTTCAGGTTTTAATATGCTTAACACTGTTGTAAGAGCTACTATTTTTCTTTAAATTAAAGATTAAACACAAAACAGATAAATCAAAAGATAAGTTTAAACTTAAGACAATTATGGGTAAACTGCTTACTATTAATGTAAATGTTTCAATAATTACATATTTTTCAGGTTGAAAAAAATAAGTATTTGTATAAATGTACAAAGGTCTGGGTATATGGCATTTTCCCAGCCTCCTCCTGACAATTTAGAATGAACATTCAGATCAGATAATGTCCCTATGTCGTTTTCCTCTCTATCCAATATGCCTTCCATATTCTTGGCTAGATGTACTTCTGCTGTCCCCTAAGAGGAAGACTTTTGTGTCTTCCTCAAGTAGATGAACAGCTTTTTCCTCTCATATGTCGAGCATTACAGCGTTGGGCAAATGTCCTTGTTTTGTAATGTACCTTCCACACCATAACCTATTAAACTTATTTTAGGATCATCCACAGCCCTCTTCATTTCACATCCTTCCCTGAAGACCAGATCACCTGGCTCACAACCTCTCTACTCCAGTACCTGTCACCACTCTCAGGGGGTTCTGTGGGGATGAACCACTGGCTGACACTCTGGCTTCTCAGCAACACTGACTTTACTCTTCACCAGGCACTTATATAATACTTTGGACACTGTCCACAGACACTGCACAATCTTCAAAGTCACTCCCGTGCCCATTCCCTTCTCTGATACAGCCTTTTATTCTACTTTCTGGCTCACTTTGCTTAAGCACCATGACCACCCTAGTTCCCTAACTCTTCTTGGGGCTCCAAACCATGACCTTTCTCCTTATACATCAGTCCCTCATATCTTTACTTCTTTCTTCATAGGACTGAGATCCAATGGACTTACATACCCAACTGATATTTTATGGAACTGTATATTCAGTTGAGAATCTATGAAACTACTATGAGGTCCTCACAAGGATGCTATTATGGACTGAACTGTGTTCCCCCAAATTCATACATTGAACCCTTAAAACCCAATGTGACTATATTTGGAGATGGGGCCTTTAAAGAGTTAAAAGGTAAGTGAGGTCATTAGTGGGCCCTACTCCAATGAGTCTGGTACCCTTTTAAGAAGAGGAAGAGATAACAGGGGTGTACTGCAAGCACAGAGAAAAGGCCATGTGAGGACACAGCAGGAAGGTGGCCATCTGTAATCCCAGGAGAGATGCCTCAGAGCAACCAAACCTACTAACACTGTGATCTTGGACTTCCAGCCTCCAGAACTGTAAGAAAAAAAAGGCCAGGCACAGCGGCTCACACCTGTAATCCTAGCACTTTGGGAGGCTAAGGTCAGAGGACCCGCTTGAGGTCAGGAGTTTGAGACCAGCCTGGGCAATAGTGAGAGCTAGTCTCTACAAAGAAAAACATGAAAGGCCAAAGTCCCTCTTTGGCATAAAATGCTATACCAACTTCATGCTGCTACTTAAAAAGCAAAACACCCAAGTCATATTATTTTTATTTTAACATAAAAAGATGAACAAAGGAGCACCCTGTATATCCAATGAAAATATCCTTCAAGAATGAAGTTGTGAAAAAAAACTACTTTCAGAAAAACGAAATATAAGAGAATACATTGTACCTGCACCACAAGAAATGCTAAATGAAGTCCTTAAGGTTGAAGAAAAATGATACCAAGGAGAAATTCAGATCTTCGGGATAAAAATGAAGAGAATAGAATACAGTAAATTATCTAGATGAGTATAAAAAGACTATTTTTTTCTTTTAATTAAAAAATCACATATGGAGCGTATAATACAAATGACAACTTTGGCATAAAGGATGTTGGGAGAAAGGGCTAACTGAAACTGTGCAATTATAATGTTTGTATGATTTACATAAAGTGGTACCCAAATTAAGTAGACTATAAACCATTAAGGCTATATATTATACACTACTAGAGGTGGGGGTCAGCAAACTTTTTTTTAAAGATAGTAAATAGTTTAGGCTTTAAGGGCTAAGAGGTGAAATGGACCATAAAAAATGTAAGAGACATTCTTAGCTCACAGTTTTTTTAGAATTCCATTTCAATTTCTTGACTTGCTTTCTAAGCTTTTCTTCTCCCTCCAGACTTGTCTTTTCTCTCTAGATCAGTTTTTGTTTGTTTTTTTTTTCTTCCATATTCTTGCTGATCTAAACAACAGCCTGGGAGGCAGAAGAATACCTTCCCATCTCAGCATTTCAGCAATGGCTCCTCTCTCCCAAGCCTCTGGGCTACTGACAGCCTTGGGCCCCATCTGCCCAGTGTTCTCCACTCACCTGGACAAGTGGCTGGTGGACATTTTCTCTCCTCTCTCCAAGTCTCTTTTCCTTGCTCCAGCTGGGTAATGAGTTTTGGTTTAGAAAATGGAATTCCTGCTCACAGGAAAAGAAAACAAGGTAACTGTGGGTTATAGGATCCAGGGCCCAGTCAAGAATCCAGATCCAAACTAGGTGAGGAACTTCAAAGGATGGCACAAAGATCTGAGAACAGTGGGCTCTCAGCAATGGAAGGGAGGAAGGGGGAAGGTAAACTTGCATGAGAGCACACTGATTCCACTCCACATTGAGTGGATGAACACCTCTCTTATTTAAAAGAAGTTAATTTAGGAAGAGAGCCCCAGCCTGGGCAAGGGCTACAAATGCAGAGCATCGCACACATACATGTGCAGACACAAATCTATCCCTTTTCAATTCTATGAAATCAGACCTTCACTGGGGAAACAGGAAACAAAATGTCTTTGCTTTGGAGTCTAACACAAAAAGCAAAGCCAAGACACAAACCAAGATGGCTGCTTCAAGCATAGCCTAAAATTCTCAGCAATAAAATTGCATGTCCCATGCTTACCCAGTGAGAGCAGGTTGCTGTAGTTCTCCAGCATCACCTCCCTGTACAGAGTCCTCTGAGCAGGGCTCAGCAGCCTCCACTCCTCCTGGGTGAAGTCCACAGCCACATCCCTGAATGCCATGTGTGCCTGTAACACAAAACCCAGCCCTGGTTACCCAGGAGCCAGCTTTGCCCATGGATGTGCTCTATTCTATTCCATTGGTCTGTAAGTCTATCTTTACGCCAGAACCATGGGTTGGATTACTGTTGCTTTGTAGTAAATTTTGAAATAAGGAAGTGTAGTCTTTCAACTTTATTATTTTTTCCATGACTGTTTTAGGTATTCAGAGTCCCTTGAGATTCCATATGAACTTTAGTATGAATATTTCTATTTTTGTGAAAAAAAATAGGATTATGACAGGGCTTATACTGACTGTATAGATTAGTTAGGGTAGTATTATCATTTTAACATTATTAAGCTTTCCAATCTATAAACATGTGATGTCATTCCATTTATATCTTCTTTAATTTCTTTCAGCAATGTTTTGTAGTTTTCAATGTGTATGGCTTTCACCTCCTTGATTAATTCCTAAGTATTTTATTCTTTTCAATGCTGTTTTAAATAAAATTGTTTTAATTTTCTTTTAGGATTGTTCATTGTTAGTCTATAGATATGCAACTGACTTTTGTGTGTTGATTTTGTTCTAGATTTTGTGTACATGTGTAATCTTTAGAGTCTTCCACATATAAGATCCTGTTATCTGCAAACACAGATAATTGCGATTTTTCCTTTCTAATTCAGATGGCTTTTATTTCTTTTTCTTGCCTACTTCTGATACTCTGTTGACTATAAGTGGCAAATGTGAGTATTGCTGCCTTATTCCTGATGTTAGAGCTTTCACTCTTTCATCATAGAGTATGTTAGCTGTGAGATTTTCATATATGACCTTTATTATGTTGAGGTAGTTTCCAGTTTGTTTTCATAAAGGGATACTGATTTTTGTCAAATTCTTTTCTGCATCAATTGAAATGAGCATGTGTTTTATTCCTCCATCTGTTAAAGTAACATTTTATATTCATTGATATTTTTATATGTTGAACCATCCTTGCATTCCTGAAATAAATTCTGCTTGGTCATGGTGTATAATTCTATTAATATGTTGTTGAATTCTGTTTGCTAGTATTTTGTTGAAGGTTTTTTTGCATAAATATTCATAAAGGATATTTATCTATAGTTTTCTTGTAGTATCTTTGTCTGATTTTGGTATCAGAGTAATGATGACCTTATAGAATGAGTTAGGCAGTGCTTCCTCCTCTTTAATACTTTTGGAATAGTTTGAGAAGGACTGGTGTTAGTTCTTCTCTAAATGTTTGGTAGAATTCACCAGTAAAGCCATCAGGTCTAGAAGGATTTGATTCTTTGTCAGGAGGGTTTTGATTACTGACTCAATCTCCTTATTAGTTACATGCTTATTAAAAATTTCCATTTCTTCATGATTCAGTCTTGATAGATTTTGTGTCTAGGAATCTGTCTATTTCATCTAGGTTATCCAACTTCTTGGCATATAATTCATAGTACTCTCTTTTAATCCTTTTTATTTCTGCAAAAATAAGTGATAATCCTTTTATGTCTAATTTTAATAATTTGAGGTTAGTAAATGTTGCTTGTTTTCTTAGTCAGGCTAAAGATTTGTCAATGTTTTTGATGAACTACCTTTAAGTTTCATTGACTTTCTCTATTATTTTTCTGTTCTCTATATTCTTTGAATCTGTTCTAATGTTTATTATTTCCTTCCTACTGCTAGCTTTGGGTTTAGTTTATTGAGGTTTTTTTTCTAGTTCCCTAAGTTGTAAAATTAGGTTGTTCCCTGGAGAATTTTCTTCTTTTTAATATAAGCATTTCAGCTAAAAATTTCCCTCCTAGCACTTTTACTTCATCCTATCCCAGGTTTGCTGATACTTCTGTATGTTCAAATATGCTTCTGAAGCCCTCTAATGAATTTTTCATTTTAGTTATTGTACTTTTTATCTCCAGATTTTAGTTTGTTTTCTTTTTATCCCATAAGTTTTGGTATATTGTTTTTGTTTTCATTTGTCTCTTAAGTACTTTCTAATTTCCCTTGTGGTTTCTTCTTCTATGCACTGGTTTAAAGTATGTTGGTTAATTTTCACATATTTGTTAGTTTTTCAGTTTTCCTTCTGTTATTGACTTCAAACTTCATCTTGTTGTGGTATAGGATACTTCTTAAGGTATCTATATTTTTAAATCTATGGATATTTAATTTGTGGCCCTATCCTGGAAAATGTCTCATCTACACTTAAGAATATGTATTCCTATTGTTTGGTTTATCGTCCTATTAAAGTTTATTGTCCTATTAAAGTTCTCTATTTCTTTACCTATTGTCTTTCTTATTGTTCTATCCATTATTGAGAGTGGAATATTGAAATCTCCGTTTTGTAGAACTGTCTATTTCTTCCTACGCTTCTGCCAATTTTGCTTCAGATATTTTGTGGGTCTATTATTAGGTGTGCAAGTGTGTATAATTTTTATATCTTCTTGCTGTACTAAAACTTACACTAATATGTCTTATTTCTTGTAAGCTTTTTTTGATTTAAAGTAAAGTCTATTTTTTCTGGTATTAGTATAGCCACTTCCACTCTCTTTGGTTACTATTTGCATGAAACATCTTTTCCATCCTTCACTTTCTTTTTTTATTATTCTTTTCTTTTTTTTTTAATGAGATGGAGTCTCATTCTTGCTCAGGCTGGTCTCAAACTCCTGAGCTCAAGCCATCTTCCTGCCTTGGCCTCCCAAAGTGCTTGGGTTACAGGCATGAGCCACTGCACCTGGCCCCATCCTTTACTTTCAAACTACCTGTGTTTTTGGATCTAAAATGAGTCTCCTGTACATAGCATATAGTTGAATCATGTTTTGGTGTTTTTCCCTACACTATGTCAAATTCTGTCTTTTGGTTGGAGAGTTTAATCCATTTACATATAAAGTAATTACTAATAAGGAGAGACTTGTATCTGCCATCTTGCTTTTTATTTCCACATGTCTTGCAGCTTTTTGTCCTTCATCTCCTGTAGTACTCTTCTTTTATCTTTAGGTCATTTTTTTTTTAATTTTAATTCTTTTTTTTTTTATTTCCTATTCATTCTTTTACTCACTAGACACACGGATTCCTGAATCTTTAGGTCATTTTTTTTTAGTGCAACTTTTAAATTCCCTTTTCATTTCCTTTTCTATATATTCTATAGCAATTTTCTTTGTGGTTATCAATGAGATTTTATTTATTATTCTAAAGTTAAAAAAAAACCCTAATTTGAATTTATTAGCTTAACTTCAATACAAACAAAAACTTGTCCCTATACAGTTCCATCCCATCTCCAGTCAGTTATTGATGTCATAAAATTATATCTTTATGTATTATGTGGTCAAGACAAAATTTTTTTAATGCAGTATCCTCCTAAGTCATGTAGAAAACAAAAAGTTACAACCAAAGTTATAATGAAATGCTAGCTTATATTACTACTGATGTATTTAGCAGAGGACTTTATTTTAGCAAAGAACTTTATTTTTTCACATGGCTTCTAGTAATTGCCTTATGTCCTTTCGTTTCATTTCAAAGACTGTTGTTTGTATTCCTTGCAGGGCAGATCTAGTGGTAATGATCTCCATTGGCTTTTGATTATCTGAGAATGTCTTAATTTTCTCTTAGTGTTGAAGGAAAGTTTTTTCAGATATAGGATTCTTGATTGGCAGTTTTTATTTTATTTTAGCACTTTGAATATATCAATCCACTGCCTTCTGGATTCCCAAGATTTCTGCTGATAATTTTTTTGAGGATCCCTTAGAAAACACACACACACACACACACACACTAGAATATTATTCAGCCTTAAAAAGGAAGGAAATTCTGACACATTCTACAATATGGATGAACTTTTAGGACATTATGCTCAGTGAAATAAACTAGAAATAAAAGGACAAATATTTGATTCTATTCATATGAGGTACCTAGAATAGTTAAATTCACAGAAAATAGAATGGTGATTGAGATGGCTAGGGGCAAGGGAAAGTGGGGAGTTATTGTTTACGGGTATGAAGTTTCAGCTTAGGGAGATGAAAAAATTTCTAGGTGGTGATGATGTGCAACAATGTTGAATGTACTCAATGCTACTAACCTGTTCACTCAAAAATGGTTAAAATGGTCAATTTTATGTTCTGCATAGTTACCACTAAAAAAAAGTCTGACCAAAAAAATTATTCAAAGCCAGATACTCCAGAAGAAACTTTAGCAAAAGACTGATGATGAGCATTTAATATACATAATTGTAGATATATTATAAAAAGGGGAAGAAAAAAGAAGCAAAAAATATATGCTAAGTTATATCGCTGTATGTCCTAATAAGGTTGAAAGGCCACTAAAATAGAAGAGAAAGGAGAAGAGGAAAGTAGAAAAAGTTTGCTGAATGTTGCATACCCAAAGGTGGGAATTAAAGGGAACACACAAATGAAATTACAAATTCCTACAAAATAATAATGAAAACACTACATATGTATGGGATTTATTTTAAACAGTAAGGTGAGGAAAATTATAGTCTTAAATACTTTTCCAAAAAAAATTAGAATTAAATTTCCAGCTTAAAGAGCTAGTAAAATTAAGTAATCCAAAAGAAAGTACAAAGAAGGAAATAATAAAAATGAAAGCAGAAATTAATGAACAGAAAACAGTAGATCTAATAAATCAAATCCTAGTTTCTAAAAAAAAAAAAAACCCAACAAAATAAACACTAGCTAACTTAAACAAGAAAAGAAAGCATAAATACTCAAAATAAATAATGACAAAGGGGAAATAACTATTGAATCACCAAAAAACAATTTTTAAAAAGTCATGTAAGACCAATTTGCAGAGCTCTATACAAATAAGTTTTTAGACCTAGATAAAGTGAATAACTTCCAAAGAAATATAATTTACCAAAATTGACCCAAGATGATCACAGTGAAATTCTACTAAACCTTCATACCAGATAGTCCCAATGCTCCAAATACTGTCCCCAGAGCACTGAAAAATGAAAAAAAAGTCCTCATTCTTTTGTTTTGTTTTGTTTTTTGAGACAGAGTCTCGCTTGTTGCCCAGGCTAGAGTGAGTGCCGTGGCGTCAGCCTAGCTCACAGCAACCTCAAACTCCTGGGCTCAAGCGATCCTTCTGCCTCAGCCTCCCGAGTAGCTGGGACTACAGGCATGCGCCACCATGCCCGGCTAATTTTATATATATATTAGTTGGCCAATTAATTTCTTTCTATTTATAGTAGAGATGGGGTCTCACTCTTGCTCAGGCTGGTTTCGAACTCCTGACCTCGAGCAATCTGCCCGCCTCAGCCTCCCAGAGTGCTAGGATTACAGGCCTGAGCCACCGCGCCTGGCTAAAAGTCCTCATTCTTATAAAGAAAGTATAACATTGGGACCTAAACTTGATGACAGTTCAAAAAGGAAAATTATAGATTATCACTTATAAATATTGAAAAAAATTCTAAATAAAATATTAGTGAAGTGAGTTTAACACCACCACAACAAAAAATTTCACCATGACAAACTGAAATTTACCCAGGAATGCAAATCTCGTTCAGTTTTAGGAAATCTATTATAATACACCATATGAAGAGGTCTAAGGATAAAAAACAAAAAACAACAAAATTCAAGAATATAGGATTGATGGATTTTTAAAACTTTTTATTTTGAACTAATTTTACACTTACAGAGAAATTGCAAAAATATCAATTCCCATATATCTTTCACCCAGCTTTTGCTGATGTTAACATCTTAGAAAACTGTAAGTGCGATTATTAAGACCAGGAAATTAACACTGACACAATGATACTAACTGAACTAAAGACCTTAATTAAATTTTGCCAGTTTTTCCATTTATGTACTTTTTCTGGTCCAAGATCCAACTGAGGTTTCCATATTGTATTTAGTTGTCATATATCTTTAACCTCCTCCAATCTATGGCAGATCCTGTGTCTTTTCTTGTTTTTTTGTGAACTTGATGCTTTTGAAGAATATCCTTCAATTTTGGTTTGTCTGATGTTTTTTCATGATTAGAATGAGGTTATTTCATTTTTCATTAGAATATCTCAGCTGCTGTGATAATGTATCCTTTTCAGTTCACCATCTCAATGAGTTCATGATACTGATATATCTCATTATTGGTGATGTTAACTTTGATCTTGACCACTTGGTTAAGGTAGTGTCTGCTGGGTTTCTCCACTGTAAAGTCACTATATTTCCCTTTATAATGAATAAATACCTTGGGAGAAATACTTCAAGATTATACAAATATCCTATTTCTCTTCAAACTTCCATCCACTGATTTTAGAGTATGTTTGTGGGGCCTGTCTGCAACAGGTATTATTGTGATGTCTTCCAAATGACAATGTTCTATTTCCTTCTTTCATTTTAAATTCATTATTTAGAATTCTTCTGTAAGCAAAAGCTATTCAGTCTCCCTATTTATTTATATTCAATGATTTATTTATATCAGTATGAATTCATATCTTATCAGCTGTATCATCACTGTTAATTTTGCTGTTAAAATTACTCCAGCTTTAAGCTTTAGGAGCTCCTTCAGGTTGGCTTTGTTCCTGTTTTAACCAGTAAATGTGACACAGGTGACACGGTGCCAGTTACAGTCTTAAGTCTTAAGAAGGCTAGACAGCTTTCACTCTTGGGAGCCTTAAGATACTATGTAAGAAGTTCAATATCCTGCTGAAGAGACCATGCAGAGCGGCAGAGGCCATGATACTACATGGAGAGAATGAGGCTTGGCTGTCTTACCAGACTCCAGCCTTCCAGCCAACTCACTAAAGTGCCAAATATGTGAGGGAACCATCTTGCATATTCCAACCCAAGTGAGTCCCCAAATGACTGCAGCAATAGTGAGATCTATCACACAGAGCAAGGACTGCCCAGCTGATGCACGTAAACCCAAAGAACTGTGAGAGATTATCACATGGCCGTTCTTCTAAACCACTATGTTTTAGGGTGATTTGCTGTATAGCAATCAATAACCAGAACCCTTCCAGACACACTGTGCCTTCTCTCTCTTCAGCTTTCTTAATGACAAAGCATCTTCCCTATCATCCATGCATTTACTTAGTCCCATGACTACTTTCCCCTACCTTCCATATCAAACCAATTACCAAGACTGACTGATTGCATCTCTGTGAACTCTTTCAATTCCTCCCCACCTGTACACCAGTTGAGGTACTAGGGCAATGGCAGGAGCTTTGTGACAGTCTCTGCAGACCATTTTCCAATATTCCAGGCTGCCTCACCCATTACTCCAAGAATTAGCTCTATACACACAAGTCTGGGTTATTCCTTTGTTCAGCAAACATTTATTAAGCTCCTACTGTGTGATACATACTACTATAGACCTTGGGGATACAAAAGTGAACAAACACAAAAACACCTGCCCTCACTGACATGGAAGTCTAGAGGAGGAAGATGGACATATTACATGAATAAATAGGACACAGAGTATTATCAGAACGTGACGAGTGATATAAAGAGAAATAAAGCAGGGAAGAAGAAAAATAGGTTTTGGAATTTTCAATAGGGTGGTTTGGAAAGGCCTCTTTGAGGTGACTGAGTGACAATCTGAAGGACAGTGGGGAGTAACCAAGTGGACAGCTCTGAAAAGAACATCTCAGGCAGCAGAACAGGCAGAGCAAAGGTCCTGATGCAAGAGTCAGGCTGGTGTGATCAAGTTCACTGGGGCTGGTGTGGCATGACTAAGACAGAGTGGTAGAGATGAAATCCAAGAATAAAATGTAGGGAGATCAGACCTAGCTTTGTAGGACATTGGTTTTGACTTTGGTTAGGATGAGAAGCCACTGGAAGGTTTTGAGCAAACACATGACATGATTTGATTTACATTTTAAAAGATCCCTCCAGTTGCTGTACTGATTAATATACCTTAGGGGACACGGGAAGAAGCAAGGAGACCACTCGAAGGTTATGATCATCTAGGTGAGATAGTGCCTGGACCAGACAGCAAGGGTTGGAGATTGTTAGAGTCCATATTTGCTTAGTGTGGATGGGGTGTAAAAACAAGAAAAGAATCAAAGATGACTCCAAGATTTTGAGCTTGAGCCATCTGAAGGAAGGAGTTGCCACGTCTCTGCTCCCTTTTAGAGCTAAACTCCTTGAAAGAATTATCTATACTCCACTGAAGCAGAGCATATTCTGGGGACATGATCAGAGTTTGAGGTTTGGGATGCCCATCAGATGTTCAAGTAGAAATGTGAAGGAGATAGTAGGACACTGGGATGTAAAGTTGAAAGCAGAGATCTAGCCTGAGTCTCAGACAGATGGCATTTAAAGACTTGAGAGTAGACAAGACCACCAAGGAGACAGTACAGCTGAAGATGAGATGTCTAAAAACTAAACTGGCACCTTCCACAGTGGAAGTTTGGAAGAAGAGGGGGAGCTAGAAAAGGAGAGAAAGTAGGAGCAGCCTATGAAGCAGGAGGAAAACCAGGAAGACCTAAAAATCATGAGCAACCACGTGAAAGGATATATTAAGGAGGAAATAAGCAATTATATAAAATGTTGCTAAGAACTAACTGGGTCCTTTAACCACAGGGAGAACACTGGTGACTTTGACAAGGATATGTTTTGGTGGGTAGAACTGAAAAGCCTTATTGAAATGTCTAAAAGACAAGGGAAAGATGGCAATGGAGACAGCAAGTACAGATAATTCTTTCAAGGAGTTGAGTTCTAAAAGGGAGGAAAAGCAAAGCAAGAAGATGGAAGAGACAGGAAGCTTGGGCAGTACAGAAATGGAGACAAAGGGAAGGAAGAGGAATCAAGGAGTATGCACAGGTGGAACTGAGAGGACACAACAGCCAATCAAATGGAAGGTATATTTGGAAACCACCAGGATGCAAGGAAAATACAGATGCCCAGCTTGTATCAAGTTAGACAGCTGTTAATGCAGATCAGCAAGGTCAGAAGAAAGAAAAGGCCAGAGGGGCAGAGACAGAGAAAACTATCATGTTGTTTCCAGATACTTCTCCCTCTCCTGCCTCTGACCAGGGCTATTCTGACCGGGGAAAAATGGAATTTTTTAAAGAATTGGGGAGAAGCTAGGTGTGGTGGTTCACATCTATAATTCCAGCACTTTGGGAGGATGAGGCAAGAAGATCATTTGAGTCTAGGAGTTGGAGGCTATAGTAAGCTATGATGACACTACTGTACTCTAGCCTGAACAACAGAGTGAGACCCTGTCTCAAAATAACTAACTAACTAAATAACTAAATAAATAAAAATAAACAATTGGGGAAAATTGAATATGGGTTGGGTATTAAATCAGGTTAGTTATTAATTTTGTTGGACGTAACAGTGAAATCGTGATTACATTAAAACAAAAAGTCCTTTTGTGTTAGAGATGCCTATTGGAGTATTCACGGGTGAAATGATATGACTGGATTTGCTTAACTAGTCTATCAGGGAGAAGAGTAAGGAAGGGCATTAGAAGACAAAAGAACAGAATGTTGACAACTTCATAGCACCGGCCAAACCCTGGGAATGAGCAGGGTTGAACAAACACTGGCAGAAGGAAAGTAGGGGCAAGGATGGAGATCTAATAAATGAGAGCATGAGGCCTCAAATATATTCCCTGTGAAAGCTGTCACCCTTAGAATAGGCTTGTTTTCCTACGGGAACCAGCTGAGACTCTGATCCCTGGACGGGACACTGTAGGACACAGATGTCCAACTTGAGCAAAGGAAACCCATTCATGGTTGGAAATGCAAAAGGTTAAGTAGCACCCACCTGAAGCTGGCTGTCAGGAGCCCGGGAGACTCCCTTTCCCCAGCAGGCAGTCCTCTCTGGGCAGGAAGGGGCCACAGGAGGCAGAACAAGAACCAAAAAATGTTCAGGAATGTCAATGGAAATCCTCAAGCTCCAGCAGAGTAGCACTTTCTCTTTCTTAATGGCATCAGGAACGGATCTGTCACAGAAAAAAACTAGAAAAGAACTGTGGGCAGCTTCCTGAGAACAGAGCTGGAATACAGGCTGTCCTGACATGCTGTTGACTCTCAGCATGAGGTGATCCTCTCTGCGCCTGCTATTAATAATGAAAGGTAACAAATATTGAGCTCTTAGTAAATATTAATACTAGAGACTGTTCCAGGCACTTTATGAGTTTTACCTATTCTATCCTTGCAACAACTCAATGTATTATCCTCATTTTACAGATAAGAAAATTGAGGCACAGTAAGGTCAGCCACTTGCTCAAGGTGATACAGCTACAAAGTGAGGGAGCCTAGAGGAAATCTGGCTGTGGAGACCATGCTCTTAAACAGTGAGGGCAATGATGGTGAACCTCTGGGGGTTGTAAGGATTCTCCTCCTGTCCACTTTGAGATGAATCAAGATTGGTCAAGAAGTGGCAAGTGTTGAATATGGGAGACAGAGATTTGGTCTATGGAGTTCTATCTACTTCTGGCTGTTTAAAATTTTCCTGAAATAAAAAATTTAAATGGAACTTAAAATCCCAAAGCTTGGCCATACCAGAAACATAGGAATCCATGATTCTTGTGATCAGTGACAGTTCTGGAACCTTTCTTTTAAAACTTGCCCCGTGGGCCCCAGCCCGACCTCTTTCTCCAAGCCCCGAACCCAGGGGCGACCAGCCCAGTTGAGACCCTGAGATCGCCTACAATTGTCACCCCACACTCAGTCCAACTCCAACTCCAGCTTGTTTGGCCAAGTCAGCCGCCAGTACCTCGCTCCACCCCCAAAAAAGCAGAGGGGTAGTTAGGCCAGAAGACAATCACTCCCTAACAGACCAAACCTTGGGGGCACATGACCAAAAGGACAGTCCCCACCCCACCACCTGGGCAATATCTGACTGCCAAAATCTTCCCTTTATTCAATCCCACAAAACCCGGTTATTTGTAGCATGAGCGACGCCCCCACCCTCCACCCCGCCCAACACCGCAATTTCAGCCCAGGCCAAACCTGTCCCTAAGAGCTCTAAGACAGAAAGCCTGAGCCCCGCACCCACCACCACCCAGCTTCACAAGTGAGGTTCACTCAGCTCTCTCGGAGATGCGCGCCCACACCCCTAAAATAAGACATCCGGGAGGGCACGGCCTGAGCCATGCCAGCACCTTCCCCCCACCCCCCGCGCCATCCCCAGGCCCAGCCCATAGACCGGCCAGCCTTTTAGGACCTTCCCTTCCGCACGGAAAGGGTACGACTGCAGCAAGGATCCCTCGGGAGCCTCACTCACCAGCGCCCCCAAAGAACAAGGGGTCGTTCCGGCCACCAGCTGAGGACCTCCTCCACTACCACGAATGCTCGGCACGGCGCCGGGACCACAGCTCCCAGGATGCTCAGCGCGACCAGAAGCGCACTGACAGCCGGCAGTTCCCACTGGCCTCCGACGGAGCCGCTCCTGGGTAACGAGCCCTGTCACCTGGAGAACGGCCACTGTGGCACCTGGATTTCCCCCTTTTTTCTTAAAACCACAAGCATAAAACACGTAGAGACTCCGGTGAAGCTCCTCGCCCTACGATGACCCTCTCTCTGAACGCCTCTGCCTCCAAGACTACAAAGACTACACTCCCCAGTGACCCCTGCGGGTGACTTCCGCATCCTCCTCACCCGCCCCTCGGCGCGCAGAAATGACGTCGAGGGGCACTTCTGTTCGTTTTTTTGGGAGGGGTAGGGTGGCGCCTGCTGACCCTGGACTGAACTTCTTGCCCGGGTTGTCAGTGTCGCGGTGGCTTCTGGACTCCCCGGCTCTAGCTGTGGGGTTGGAAACCTGCGTCCCATGTGTCGTGAGCGCCGGGTAGGCCGAGCAGCCTACCCAAGGTTTCGCATGCCCTACGACGGAACCCGATTCTAATCCCACACCCCCAGCCCGAATGTCCGCAGGTGCCCTGAGACCTTTTTTCATTTAATTGAAGTCCACGAATTTATGGGCAAATTTTCATTAATCTCCTGGGACACGGATGCCTCATTCTTAGGCTAGAGCTTGGAGCTGACGCCGCTGTCAGCTTGAATCTCTGGGTCTTTGTTCGGGATCCTGGTTGAAAACAAGGCCACGATGGTGCCATCTTGGATGCCCCAGTTGGGGAGCTCGAGAGGAAGCCCCCTTTCACTCGTGAGAGGGCTTTTCCACCTCGCTACCCTCTCACTTGTCATTACCTTCCTCAAATAGGCTTTATGAAACTCTGTGCTTCCCTAGGAAGACCAACAAAGTTACTGCGTGGCCTGGAGAGCCAGGGATAGTTGAGAATTTCTTAAAATTCCTTCTTAGCTCCCGGAGGATGAATCTGTTCCCTTCTCTTGCCTTGAGGTTGCATTATTTTTCGTGAATTCAGTTCAGTCCTGGCCCAGGAGAAGTGTCCAGTCTTACTTCTATCCATCCTTGGATATCCCTCTCTGCTCCACCCATGACTCAGTAATTCACTAAGAAATTAGCTGTTAATAGACCTGGAAGTTCAACGTAACAACGCAGGGACGCCCATGTTTAAATGTTCAGCAATGCTTGCTGTATGATAGGGGCATGAATGGCTGAGATTTCCTGGGCCTGGTGATAAGAGACCAGGGAAGACTTCTAGGATGAGTGGCTTCCTGAGCTCTGCTCAGGAAGTAGACCAGATGAGGAGTTCGAAAAACATATGCCAGTTGGAAGAAAGCAGGAACTGTGGTCATAATCTCAGGGTCTGAGCCACTGGGCAGACTGTCATGACCACAGCAAGAGAGGTTTTCAGTAGCAAGTGGTCTTGCAGCAGGCTGATTTTCCATGCATATAGGCAAGGATGCTGCCTAGATGTCCACAAGTGGCATACAGGTATTTGGTTTGGCAAGCCTCCTGTTCATATTTGAAAGACTTCTCAGCATTTAATAATATAGGAGTTTCCATCCAAAAATATGGATTACCTGCTTTCCTTGCTACTTTCTCCATTTCCTCTTTACCTCCTGGTACTTCCCACCCACTCCAGCCCACCCGATCCCACTGCATACCTTATCTGGAATACTTTGCCTGCTTTCCTTTCCTTAGCTCCTCTAAATCCTTCCTGTCCTTCAAGACCAAAGACCCACCTCTTTTTCATGAAGCCTTCTTTGATCACTATCCTATGATAACTTGTGATTCCTCTGACCTCAGCTTTACCTGGGGCCTTTTGGAAATACAATCCGTGGATACTATCCCAAGAAATTATGAGTTCAGAGTGGAGCCCTGGCATCCATTATTCATAACAAAGCTGCTTTCACCCTAGGAAGGCAAAGTGTCATGTAATAATGTAGAAGAGAGATACTATTTTGAAAACTCAGAAGTTTGGTTGTTGGTTACTTGTTGCTATTACTGAACCGTATGCCTAGGTCGGTCATTCAACCCAGTGCTTCTCAAGCATGTGCAGATATATCACCTGGGACTTGTAAACATGCAAATTCTGAATAATGAATGCAAGTTCTGAATTAGCATGTCTGGATAGAGCCTAAGCACCAGTATTTCTACCGAGCTTCCAGATGATACTGATGCTGCTTGCCCTCAAACCACACTGGGTAGCAAGGATTTAACCCAATCAGGGGCTCAGATCCTTAAATCTAACATAAACGCTAGATTATGGAATCTCCAAATTCACAAAACTCAGATTACAGTTCTATATATTTTATTTTCATGTGTCATTCCCTTAAATTTAAAGTACCTCGAGGTTAGAAACTCTTTTTTTCTTCTAAACCCATAGTAGCCAGATGAGGATCTAGATAGTAGACAAATGATGCTGATTGGATAGAAACCAGGGTTAATGGTCATGGAATCTAAGCATCAGGGGTGCAATCAAAACCAGGATCTAGATATTTTATGTATCTTCCCCAAGGCAGCCTTCTTGCTCCCTCACTTTGAACCATGTGCAAGGGAGGCAACCGAGTGAGCAGGACTATGCTTGGCATGATGGGTTTCCATGATATTCAGGGTTGTGGCTGTGGCTGTGGGGTGGATGTGGAGGCTGTGGAGTCCTGCTCAGAAGGACCTGTCCAGGAAGGTGGTGCTGGAGAACTATGGCAATGTGATCTCACTGGATGATGATGGCTTCTCTTACTACTTAAAATCTGACCTGCTGAGCAGCCTAAAGCCTTCATGCAGAAAAACCAGTGCATAGAGCAGCTGCCATGCATAGCTGACTTTTGCCTTAGAGTTGGACTTAAAAACAAAGACACACTTTTTCATGTTTCCTCAGGGAAATTCTGTTTTGTTTTGTTTTTGGTACTTTCGAGAGCAGTAGAATAGGGTTGTGTCTGTTTCCGTACTGCACTTCAGGTCTTTCTCCCCAGACTGGATTCGCTGCTCAGGTAATCTAGATTCAGATGGGAGATTTTGTCCACCCAGCAAGGAGCAGACTAAGTGTGCTGTCTTGCTCATCTGAGGCTCCCTTTCCTTACTCATCCCCCTTTCCAGTGCTGAGAGTTTTCACTCTTCAGAGGCCTCTTATGCCGTGCCACTCTGGGCTTCTCTACCCAGTTTAGCTCTGAGTTCTGAAATGGCATCTTGAGCCCATTAACCTACAGTCACCTTATTGTCTTTCCCTATGAGTAGAAATTGCACTTTTCCAAACCCAAACTCCTTGCCCAGCTGGAGATGCCCTGGAGGAGCCACAACATCCCCTGGGACCCTGTCTAGTCTAGGTGAGGGGGACCTTCGTGCAGATGACACAGCACTCAGCAGCTCAGGATGAAGGAGACATCATTGGGGTGCTGAGGAGGAAGCTGTTCTCTTGGCTTCCTAGGCTGCTGTTTAGACTGCTTGGCCCTGAGTCTTAGTCTGCTCAGGCTGCCATAATAAAATACTAGAGAACTTTAAACAACAGAAACTTATTTTCTTCAAAATTCTCCTGGGAGTTTGAAATCAGGGTGCCAGCATGGTCGAGTTCTGGTGAGGGTCCTCTTCCTGGCTTGCAGATGGCTGCCTTCTTGCTGTGTCCTCACGTAGTGGAGAGAGAGTACCAAGCTCTGCGGTACCTCTTCTTATAAGGGCACTAATCCATTCCATCATGAGGGCCCCACCCTCATAACCTCATCTAAACTGAATGACCTCCACAAAGCCCCATCTCCAAGTACCATCACATTGGGGGTTAGGCTTCTGTATATGAATATTGGGGCATCACAATTCAGTCCATAGCACTTTCATCTTTACCCAACAAAGGGTATACCTTGTCTCCTCTACCAGTAAACTGCCCTGTCTCTCACTGGGCTTGCCTTCTGTAGCTTACACGGTCTTTCTGTATCCATGCGCTTCTTTCTGTCTGCTTGATCTCAAATGAGCACCAACACTGTGTGCCCAGGGCTGCTCAAGAAACTGTGTGTCGAGTGTTAGAGGGATCTGATAAACATCTTTTCTCTGTCCCACCTGTGTTCCTGCATTCTGATCCAACGAGTTTGGCGTGGGACAATTGACTGTGATCCGGGGCAAGTCGCTTGCCCTCTCATAGGGTATCAAGATCATGGTTTCCACTGTATGAAATATAACAGAGCAAAATTTCACTAATGTGACCTGTAAGGAGACAAGACGTCCCACTTTCTTGGTGTATGTCATGGCTTTTATGTACATTATAAACCCCATCTTACTACTATTAGCTTTAAAGAGTCTGTTGTATTATAAGGAAATTAAGAGAGAAAAAAATAAGTCTTTTTTATCGTTACCATTTCTAGTGTTCTTTATTCTTTTCTGTATTTCCATCTAGTATTAATTTCCTCTTGCTTTAAGAACACCTTTTTGTATTTGTATTTATTTATTTATTTTCAGACAGAGTGTTACTCTGTTGCCTGGGCCAGAGTGCCGTGGCATTAGCCTCGCTCATAGCAACCTCAAACTCCTGGGCTTAAGCGATCCTCCTGCCTCAGCCTCCCGAGTAGCTGGGACTACAGGCATGTGTCACCATACCCGGCTAATATTTATATATATATATTTTTTTAGTTGGCCAATTAATTTCTTTCTATTTTTAGTAGCGACGAGGTCTCACTCTTGCTCAGGCTGG